TGGCGTTATCGGACCACACGAGTGTGACTTCCGTTTATATTCGGCGGTTCGGAGAAATAAAATGATCTAAGATCTTAGCCGCGGGACCACGTTGATTTCAAGGAAGGAATGTGTTATATTAACAATCTTAGTTTAGTCGCCAAAAGATAGTCTATCTAATAAATATTGAAAGACCGTTACTGCGTTCGATCAGGGTGTTCCCAGAATGCAATATGCATTATCGATACACATCCGGTCGGTCAAAACTACAAAGGAAATTTTAAAAAATATTCCTGTTCGGAACGTAACAGCTACATGTGATTCTACATTGACTGAAAATCAATGTAATCATTAATTGCGAATGGTAGTCAAATACAATTGTAACTGTCCATCATTAAATATAATAAATATCGTCGAGTACTATTTCAATGTGCTGCTATACAATGTTACGTTTTAATATGTTCAATCTCGCTGCAATAAATGCAGCTCAGTCGCGATAAAGCAAAGTCATAAATCAAACTACTAGAAAGCACTCTTTGATGACGTGTCAGCACAGAATCGCACACCACATCCTACTTTATGACTTCGTTTCGATATTGAATTCAGCACATTGATGCACATTGATAAAAAATTGCTTCGTACAGTTTTGGCCCGATGTTTTAGGTACTTATCACCTCATGCTAGATTTCTTTCACGTTTAAGCGATTTCACAACCCTCTTAAAGATTACCGTCTCTCGGGTATAGATAGAGCTGTTCAAGTGAGCATGAACGTGTTATTGGAACGTTTAAGAATCAGTCACTAAAAATGTTTCTTACAAGAAGCTACTTATTATTTTGATTTAAATAATATTATAAATAATATTTGAAAATTATTTTAACTTGCACTATGATTTATTTATTAGGTGTGTCAGTCAGAACTGATCACGGCTATAACATTAAAACAGACAAAGAAAGTTGAAATGTTATGTCAATTTGATATTATGTAATCGTTGACTATGCAAGCTATAATTGGATTTGAATTCCAAATTGAAGCGTATTCAAAATTGGAGTAAGATTAATCGCAGTTGAAGTACGAGTCCGTCATGAGTCAGATTGGTCAAAATAGTACAAAGGGTTAAGATATTTCATAGTTGATTTCTGTAAATTTAAATATTGAATATAAAAAGTAATTCTTAAACGTGAAAAAATTGAAAAAATGACAATTTTCATAGAAAAAAACACCATTTTTATCGATTATGATATAAAGAGCTGAAATCTTAGTTGAACACTCTTGAGATATACATATTAGTTTGAGGAAAAAATAGTAAAAACTCTGGGATTTCAAAAAAAGTATTTATTTAAATTTTCAGAACATAAAGTGACTAACATTGAAGCTAAATTAGCTGGTGTTGTTTCATATACCAGTGTAACCGTTAAGTGTTAAGTCATACTAATTGATACTTTATCAAGAAAAAAATTCCATAATAAATTTTGTCACATACTCTAGTTTATTATGATTTTGCAATGTATCACTATTTAAAATAATTTTATCTCTAATTTTTATAAATGATTCCATCTATAGAGGTACATCCCCGCATCATGATAAATCGCATATACACAAGTAAATGAAACTTGTTTCCTCTACATAATTGAATTAATATGTTACACACCTAATAATACTCATACTCTCGTATTGTTTCTTAATTATTATCAGTAATTATTGTATACATAACAGATTATACATTTGTAATCTGTTCACTTGATTTATCAGTGAATTACTAATTCGAACCGTGAATATTTTAACAATGACGCGTTAATAGATAATTATATTACACGGAAACTTCTTCGGTCTATCGCACCTTTTAATTTTGAACTTTTAATGTACGATAAAGAAGTTGTGTGGTACAAAGCATTGCGTATGTGTATGATCATTGAATGATTGAGAGTTTGATTCCCTCCACGAATTCAATTTCGAAAATCTTATTCGCTTCCCTAACACATTATTTGATGTTTAAAGCGTGATGAGATATAGCTTAAAATCGCGTGCCTGCTCGTGAATGTTAAATAACAGCATATTAGTAAATTAGGAAGAAATTAGGACTTTTGTAAACATACATGTTGTTAATTCACATGAATCTTTCTCGATTAATCTTGTAGTAACTGAACTCTGTTATTAACATTGTATTCGATTCGAGAACAAAATATTAAAGGGAGAGATACAGAACGATAGGAAGAATAAACGAAAAATAGTTAATGAACATTGCTATTGAGTGTTTACATTACGTCGATACATAACTTAGCACTTGCACCCAACTTCGATGTTATTTTTTGGAGGATAGTTTTGGAAAGAAGGAGGGAATCGTAGCAAGTATTTCCGATAATCTTACGACGCGACATAAAATGCGGTCTACGTGTGTCTTTCGAATAACAGATATTTAAATTATCTATTTACACTGCAATATTTATACTTAAAACAGTTACAAATTCTTCTGTAACCGTACATCAAGAAGATTTTCATAAGAATCCTTCAATCCAGCGCGAACGCAAATATCTTTTAAAAATTAAGAATGTTGACTTTTCTAAATCTTCATGAATTGCAGTATCGTACTAAAAATTTTTTTATTTTAGAAGTAGAACGAGGGTATCATTGTAACTGTATCATGAATACAAACAATAGACATGATGTTAATTCACATGAATTATTCTCGATCAATCTCAAAGAAAATAAAGTAAAACTATTTTACCCCCACATTTCATTAAAAATCCCAAATTCATTAAATTGTAAACCATTAAAATCTAAATTAAAGTTTGTCATTACATGGACTAGGTTTATTATATTAACGCCATAATCTTTTTTGTGAATAAGATTCAATATAATAAGGCTTGTTAAGGATTAGTATGTTAATTTTTATTATAAATAATCATATTTCTATGACTAACGAATTTTTGTTTGCTTTCTTTGTAAGATGATCACAGCACTGCCAGTGCCTTCGGTAAAGGTCTTCCACAAAACTTATTACCAAGAGAAAGGAGCCAGGATAGCGAGCAGTCAACCTGGAAGTCCCTTAGCTGAAAGTGAAGCGGTGCTGGCATTAGTTGATAAGGAACCACCGGAATATTATTTCTGTGGCAAGGTAAGAAACATTAAACTAATAATGCACAATATTTTTATTATACACAGGATGCCTAATTGAAATTATTCCGTTCCTATGAAAATATTGCACCTCATAGAATAGATCTTTCTTCTACATGTTATAAAAATTTTCGTACTCACTCTCCAACGATTCTGGGTTAAGTGCCAGGGGGTCAAATTTAGTCCTCTTACCAGACATCCTCGCCTTCCACACTCAATGACCAGATCCTTCAGGAACAATGTTTCTATTCATTTCTGCAACACAACAGTCTGCTTGCTTTTCCCAATTTTTCACATTAAAACAAATAAATAAGCCCGCGACATCCGATTGTCATGTAGCTCCTACATTTACTGTAAGAAAAATAATATAAGAAATAGTTAGCAAATTCGTCACATAATTATTTACGAGTTCTGAGAACTTTGTAAATATTCTTAGAAATTTTGCTCTGATGTCAAACAGCTGGATTTTCTGTCATAACTACATGTTAACCTAAAAAAGAACTTGAAGTTATCGTATTTAGAGAATAATTGCTAATATTCTTATTATAATTTTGACGTGACGTTTTAACACTTTCAATGCCACGAGAAAGTTTCACTGAAAAACAATTTTATTTATAGAGAATGTAGTATACCATTTTTATAACACATGCTTGTTCCATTTAAAATACTTTTAGGTATTTAATAAAATCTGATATAGTTGAATAATATCATTTCTAATTTGTTGTATAACGAATGAGGTAGAGGTAAATTAAAAAATAGCGATTATGCGACTATTATTTTTAAAAGATTTACTCAAATGACAAGCAAATTCCTGCTAACACTTCTGGCAATTCTGGGAAGAAGTTAAGTTGAAATATAGTGTCTACAAACGTGTAAATGAAAAAAATCTTTCCACCAGACAGGTCAGCGAAAACGAATTTACAAGTCCCATTACTGAGTTTCAAACGATTTTTATTTCGGGAAAAGTAAATTTCTTGCAAACGGAATATATTAAAACGTTCGAAGAACTTGACGCTTATTTACAGTTCATAGAATCATGATTAGCGAGAAAAGGTAATTATAGTGCGTGATGTAAGGAATGAAAGTAGCGAAATTTTTTAAAGATTTATGGATTAGTCGGTAAACTACGTAACATTGAAAATGTGCGATATTTTGAGAACTTTTGGAATTATACTATTTATCACTTATTATCATGATAGATTGCTTTAGAGTTCAAATAAATTACCCGTACAAAATAAAATTCAACCAAATTCACATTCTAAATTATTTATAAGTATTCATGACATTAAAATAATTAGCAGTTTATTGTTTTTGGAATGCTTTAAAATATCACATAAAAGACCATATTTTCTAAATAATTTTGTAAAATGAAATTATAAAACTAAAAAGTATTAATGAATATATTCTACTCATTTAGTTAACATTTCTTCAGCTGAAAGCAACATATTTTCTTAATTAAATTACGTTTTCATCAAATTTAGTATTACTGTGGGGCGTGCTAATTATCCTTTGCAGTCAAAGGTATTTTTACTGTTGACAGGTAGCAGCTGTAAAACTTTCTAATTAGAAAAATTCGACGAATTCTTTTGAAGCTGTTATTTTTCTATTCGTCGCCATGTTATCTGCTTCGCTGTGTTAAAACTATACAGGGTGTTACCTGTAACGCTACTCACGATTTTTTTCCCACTTGCAGCCACCTTACGAAAAAAAGTTTAGAATAAAATTTGCAGGGTATGAAGTGCACAATAGATATTAGTAAAGCAAATTTTGAAAACAGTTTGTTCTCTTGGCAAAGTCAAGGTCACCTTGGGTTTCTTAGATAGGAACATACATTTTTTTTTATTCATAGCTTTAGAGGACATCGAGACGAATTCGAAACATATATTACATTATATTTTTATTAACATATTACTCGATTTACAGAAGTGCAAAAATGTAAAGAAAGACTGGAATATTATGTGATGGAAGGCGGCATGTGTTACATTTTGAACATGTAATTAAATAAAGTGTATTTTTCTTATATTCTAGTCGCGTGTTTACATTCAGTGATCTCTTTGGAACCAAATAATGGTTACCCTACCAAAGTCAAAAGCTACTTTACATTTTTGCACTTCTGTAAATCCATTTCCACTTCTGTAAATCGAGTAATATGTTAATAAAAATATAATGCAATATATGTTTCGAATTCGCCTCGATGTCCTCTAAAGCTATGAATATAAAAAATGTATGTTCC